CAGCAGGAGGAATCTGTTGGCTCTGTTTGCTTTTTTCTTAAAGAGCTACAGAAGTTTCCTGGAAATCAGTGGCACTAAGAACATCCCATTCTCAAAGTGAGGCACTCAACCCAAGAAATGGTAACATTACAGTCATCTGTATGATCTTAATGGTGCTCCTTTGCTGATGTATGCTATTACTACAACCGGGGGCATGATCACAACCCATTTTCCTACAGGATTCCACCTGGATCTGCACTTCAGGTAGCATCATGTGAAGGCAATGCCAGGGAAACGGGGCACCATGCTTGATGCAAGACCAAGAGGCCTGGGGCACTGTGATACCTATCAAAGCCATCAGCTCCCCAGCCTTGTCCAAGGCTGAAGACGTCACAGGGCACTTGAATAAACAGAGCAATTAGCCTCCAGGAGAGGAAGAGCAGCTCATCTTGTTCGCACAGCACCATGCTGGGACCCATGCTTTAGTCTCAGCTTTGTTGAGGCTAAGGGACTTGCCCAAAGTCACACAGGAAATCTGTGGCTCATTTCTGCATCTGAGAAAGGGTGGTAAAATTTCCTGACCTCTCTGGAGGAAGGTACAAGATGTTCAGGTACAACAACTGAAGAAGGGGAGCAAAAAGGCCTCATGTTAGCTGGAGCTCATTAAGAACCAGTCACTTCACAAAGCAAGGCTGGGAAGATAGCAGTCACTTCAGATGAGGCACAGACGCTAAGAGCACCCTTAACACATAACAGAAATTGTTCTCTCCATGAGCCTTAAATAGCAAAGAACAACTATGCTGAACCGCCATGTCCACCAGCAACACTTTCTTCCCTTGTCTCACCCCTCCTGGAGCCCAGAACTTTGTAATTTGGTTGCATTTCCCACCTCAGAGAACCCAGCCGGAATTACAAGCAGCAGACACGCCCAGCCTATTTGCTAAGACCGAAGATACATGTAATTACATTTGCAATTAAGTTTTAGTCTCACTACAGGAAACCAGAGGCACTTTCCACAGATCACAGTGATGTTATTGCCACACTTTTCAAGTTTTCATAACCTATACAACAGTGCTCTGCAACTCACTTCTCACTGACCCACTTTCCACTAAGAAAGTTCATCTATTTATCTGGACTTTCTGCTTTCCCTTGCTCACTCGCCGGAATGCTGCCTGCATGCTAATAGAAGTGGGGGGAGCCAGGGAACTAGTGGCAACACCATCAACTCCAGATCAGGGCCAAGCTCGTCCCCTGCTTACCAGGAGCATGGTGGCAATACATTCAGGCCGAGGGAGAAGCAGCACCCAGCCACCCTCAGATGACTCTGGCTGGCTGACTCACAGCTCTGTGCTGATGGGCTCCCTGGGGATGACAGAGTTTGGCAGCACTGCTCCAGGGGAGGCTGCTAAGAAGGAACGAGGAATATTTCTGATGACTTTCCCTGCAGCCTCTCTGCCTCATGGTGCCTCTTTTCGTGCAGAGCAAGGCCTGGACTCTCAACATACCACACCCAAAGAGACAACCAGGGGCTCCACAGCAGCATGAAGTGCAGTTTTCCTGCATAACTATGAGCCATCTTGCCATCAAGTCCAGCTCTGCACTGGCTACTTTCTCAGAGCAGAAACCTCATGAAAACGAAAACAAACACATAAAGCACCCAAAGCAGAGGAGGCCGCCGCAGCACACCAGAAGAGTTCAGCAAGAACATGTGAGCCTTGCCATGAGGCTCAGCTCTGGGGCTGTCCCTGAGGCTCAACTGAACACTACTTCAGCTGCTACCAAGGCAGGGCTGCCATTCAGTCCTCCCAGAAGCAGTCAGGATGGGAGATCGCTCCTTGCCTAGGAGCTGCATACAGCAGGGCAAGCTCCCTTAAAGCTGAGAAAGATCCCAAGGAAGCAGGAACTGCAAGTGAGTGTGGAAGCAGGGAAGCCATCACAAAGCCAACCAGCGAGCCATGCTATCAGAGTGCAGCAGCAAACACCTCAGGGCTTCAGCCCTGCAGACCCTTGTCCCAGGAATCTGTCAGCCTCGCTGGCTGCAGAGGTAGGTTAAGCTCAGACCCCCCTGCGATGTTGCAGATCAGCACATGCCTGAATCCTTCATACATCCTGACCAGAAACTGGTTCCACGTGCTCCTGGCAAAAAAGTGACACATGTTGCTGGTCCAACAAATGACAGCCACAAGTGTGAGCCAAGCCAAAACCAAAAGCACCTCAACTGTAACCTTCGGGGCTTTTTTGTTGTTTCTTTTTTAAACACCTCCCATCTCAGATCATTGATACAGACTGCTGCTAGGATGGCTACCACAGTTCTCTGTGACTCCACTATTCCACAGTAAGGTTTGTCTTACAGCAGATAACTCCACACCATCCTAAAACACAACCTGATACAGCTGCAGAAAGGTCCCCACAGCCCAACCCACGGGGATGAACACACCAGAAAACACCCCACTGATCCCACTGAGCAACAAATGGTCTGTGTTCATCCCCTCAGATTTTCACGGTATTTCTGGCCTCTCCAAGGTGACATTTCCCCCATGTAACAGATCCTCTGCAACACTGAATACAAACTTTTACATGCTTCATGAGCACCTCAGGGTCAGACTGTGAGGAGCGTGCGGCCGGGCTGTGAGGCGGCTGCGTGCCAGCTGTCTGCAGGCTGACAGAAGGATTCCCCTGCAGGCTCCGCATTCCTGTTGGCATGGCCTTCTTGGGCTGTTTGCAACAGGCACGGCCAGCCACCAGTTGCCCAATGCAGGCAGCACACAGCGCTGTAACAACACCAGAGCTCTGCACGTTCCTCCTCCAGGGGAGCCTTCAGCCAGGAGCAAGCAGCGGGTGGGAGCTCCAAAACCCAAACCACCGTCCAGCGCCCAAACATCCATCACAGTAAGATGAGACAGAGCCAAGAGGCCTCGGTGCTCCGGCCCTGCCCTGACACTCACCTTGAGGATCTTGACGACGACCCTCTCGTTGTTGGTGATGTTGATGGCCTCGAAGACCTCGCTGTACTTGCCGCGCCCCAGCTTGCGCACCAGCTGGTAGTCGTCCTGGTTGCTGCGGGCACGGAGAACACAGAGAGCAGGGCGGCTGAGGGCCTCCAGCCTTGCCCGGGGCCGCCCCTCCCGGCCCGTCCCGCCGCTTCCCCCGCCCCTCCCGCTCCCCACAGAGAGACCCCGGGGCGCGACCCCTTCCCGGGGCTTCACGTGGGCCGCGGAGGGCCGGCGGCCGGGGCAGGGGACCCCGCGGGGCGCTTTACCCCCAGCTCGGGACGTGCGCTTCGTAGTCCCAGTACTCGCGGCTCCTCAGGCTGTTCACCTCGGCGTACACCCGCGCCCGGCTGCCGGCGGCCGGGCCGGGCATGGCGGCGCCGGGCGGCGGCTGCAGGAGGAGGAGGAGGGCGCGGGGCCGGCGCGGGAGGCCGGCGAGGCGGGGCGCGGCGCGCAGGAGGGCGGCGGCGGGCGGCGGCAGGGCCAGGCCGGGCGGGGCGGGGCCGGCCCGGGGCGGCGGGCGCGGAGCTGAGCCGAGGCCGGGGCCCGGTGCCGGCGGCTGCAGCCTGGGCCGGCCCCGAGCGCCGCGCAGCCGACCCGGAAACGGCGCCGCGCGTCCGCGCCGCCGCCGCCGCGAGAGGCGTCCGCCACGGCGCCCCCCGGCGGCGCGGAGGTCCGCCTGCCGCGCCCCCGCCGCCGGGCGGCTGACGTCACGCCCGGCCCGGCCCGTCTCCCGCGGGGATCGCGGCGGAGCCGCCTGTGAGCTCCGAGGGCGGCCGAGACGGCCGTCTGCCGAGGGAATCCCGCACGGCGCCGCGCTCAGCCCGGCCCCGAGCCAAACCGCAGACCGAGCACCGCTGGGCCGCGGAGCCGCTTGCGGAGTTGGAGCGGTGACTAACGATGGAAATGTGCCTGTGCGCTCCTGCGTGCGCGTCGGCGCGTACGCGCTGGGGAGCAAAGCTAACGCGGTGTCAGTGCCGCGAGCGCACGCCAGGCCGAGGGCAGGAGCGGAGCCCCCGGGGCTTTGCACTGCTGCCGTTGGGGCGTGCTGCCGTGTTGCGGGCTCACGCAGCACCGGGCGCGGTGCATTTCCCCTGCTTGGGTTGGTAAAAACTTCCACTCTGCAAAATGAGTGGGAACGAGAGAAACCCGTGGGCGCCAGCAAGCAGAGAAACAAACGAAACCGATCAACGGCCGTCGGAAGCTCCGCGAGCCGTCCTGCCCTCTCCTCCCTCCGCTGCCCCCCGTGCAGCCGTTGCCAGGACGCGCCATGGCGGAGCAGGAGCTGGCCGCGCTGCCCCTGCCGCAGCTCCGGGACCGCCTGGAGCAGAAGCGGTACCGGCTGGGGCCGGGCTGGGGGCGGCGGGGAGAGGGGATGCACGGGGTGGTAACTGGAGCCGGGCAGGGGCTGGGGCTGGGACGGGACAAGAACAGGGAGAGGGGCAGAGGCAGGGAGAGGGGCAGAGAAGGACCGGGACAGAGATAAGACAGGGGTAAGGACACGGATGGGACAAGGGCAGGGACAGGATCGTGGGCAGGACGAGGACGGGGGCAGAACAGGAGGACAGGGGCAGGACGGAGACAGGAATTGGACAGGAGCAGGAATAGGACAGAGGCAGGAGCGGGGATGGGGGCAGGACACAGAGGCCAAGCCGCCCCTGGCCACCTGAGGATCCCTCCTGCAGGCCCCTGGCCCAGGTTCTGGCAGCCCCTTGTGTCCAGGTTGGAACAGGGGCAGCTCTGAAGGTGCTCTTTTCTGTGTCCGGGCTCTTGGAAGGGAGACCTGCAGCCTCCCTCATTTTGGGGGATCTGCTTTGCATTGGATTGTTCTCCTTTGCCCACTGCTCCTGTCACAGTACACATCCATCACTTTGCAGCCATGCCAACGACTTGCTGAAAGCCAAGGTGGAGTTGTTTCAGAACCAGTACCACAAGATGAAGCTGAGCAGCACGGACCTCCCATAGCACAGCTCCCCACCAGAGCTGGTACCCATACTGGTATGGAGTGGGGCAGATTGGGAAGAGTGACTTAACCCCAATCCCAACTTGAAAACAGGTGTGCTGGGCCTCTAGGTGTAGGTGTGGGCTCACTCACTCTTCTGCATGCCAGGCTGAGTGATTTGAAGGAGAAACTGAACACACAGGGGGGATGATGCCGGGATGCTTTGATTGTCCTCATCCCAGCTCATCCAGACCTTTGTGCATGCACACCCAGATCCCTCTTGCCAAGTGCACGTTGTTCCTCTGCTATCTAAACACTAACTTACTTTCTTTGGGAATACATGAAAATGCAGCAGCAGTTGGCCAGTGCTGGTTTGGCATCTGCGTTGTTGCTCAATTGTTGCAGACACGTGGCAGGTCCAGATCCAGGCTGCGCAGTTCATCGGCCTACTTTGGAGCCCTGACAGTGGAGCAGAAATGTGAGCTGGCTGAGCGGGAGCTGCTGGACGTGAAAAGTGACATTCAGAAGATGGAGGAGGATTCGGAGGAGACCTTGCATGACCTCGAGGTACAGCTCTTAGGATAGCGAGGCATCCTGCAGCACTGTGGATTTTCACACCTCTTTGACTGTGACTTCGTTACTACAGGCAGTCATACAAGAAGCAGATGCTTGGTGGGCTGATGTTAAGAAAGTTGTCAATGACTTTGAGGAAGACATTGTCAAAACCATCTCCAATGAGAAAGGGAGCATCACAGCTTCTGAGAAGCTGTTGAGATACCTGGAGGAGAAGAACCACCAGAGGGTCAGTGCAGCATGGCAGAAGTTGAGCCCGGTCCATCTGAAAATTCAGGTTCCTGTACCCCTACATGAGCTGCTTCATATTCTCAGACTATCTTAGCAACTAACCCTGTGAGCACAGGTGAGGCAGAGCAGCGGTGTGAGGGCTGCAGTGCAGGAGGAAAAAAGGGAACACACAGTAAAGCATGGGGCCTGGTGCTCTGCCTCCTCCCAGGCCCTGCTGTCACTCTCTAATCTGTTTTTTTTTCTTCAGGATCTGATGAGACAGAAGCTGCGCTTAGAAAGCAATTTTCTCAGGAGCTACAAGAAGAAGCTGCAGCAGCAGCTCAGGCAGGTGCATGCTGCCTGGACACCCAGTATGGGACATTTTCTGACATTTCTCTTTAAGCCTCAGATAACCGTGCGCTTTAAGTCTGCTTTCCCCATCAAGCGAAGCTCTTTTATTTGAGTCTGAGCTTCGGTCAGTACTCTGCAGCTCTGTTTTTCCTGGGCTTGCAGAAGGAGCAGGTGGGAGACAAGTTCCATGAGGTCCATGCAGAGCTGCTGCAGGTTAAGAAAGCACAGTATGAGGAGGAGATTGATGAGAAGAACAAGGAGCTGCAGCAGCTAAAGCTGGCCTTAGAGAAGATCCAGATCCTCAACTTCTGGAAGGTGAGTGAAGATCCCAGTGCCCCTACTTGTCCTTCCTGCTATTCCCCGTGGTCACACATGAGCTGACCAGCAGCTCTTGCAGCCTTCCCTTCCTCAGTCCAAGTATGCCAGTGGCTCTGCAGGGACCTGCTGCCAGTGTCCTGCTCTTGTGTTCCAGAAAAAGCTGCACAATGCCATGGAAACATCTGCAGTTCTGATGAAAGACATCTCCCAGAGGAAAGAGATGCTGGAGAAGATCGAAAGAAATACCACTCTTGTGAAGGAGGTAAGAGAACAATTTGGGAATCACTGAGGCTTCACCTGAGAGGACTTTTTTTAGGCCATAGCTATCTGCATGCCTTGGTGGGACTGAGAATAAGTCCTGGAGCTCCTGCTGCTGTGGGTGGGGATGGGCAGCTTTGCTCCTTTGTGGATTTTACCCCTCCAGGGTCCATCCACTGCCTTTTTGAAGTTCTCTTTCCTTGAGGTTTTCACCAGCAGTGTCCTTCCTAGTGAGAAGTAGCACAGATGTCACAGTCTGGGGACATGGATGCTGGGCCACCTCTGGGCAGCTCCACTATGGGATGGAGGCATGGGTGGGTACATCGCATCGTGTCCCTCCTTTATCCTGCCCTGTCCTTGCCCTCTGTCACTTTTCCTCCTGCAGCAACAAGCCAAAGAGGAAAGACTCATTGGGTGGCTGCAGAAGCAGCTGTCAGACTACAGCACCCCTCCTGTGATGAATTACGTGCAGACAATGATTGCTGTTGCTGACCTGGAAAAGAGTATCAAGGCTTGGGAGAGGAAGGTGGCAATTGCTGAGGTGAGGGAGATGGGACCAGGAGTGGGCTGGGTGCTGTCTCCTGCTGTGCTGCTGCAGGCAGCGCTGGAGGCTCTTCCTGTTGCCTGCTCCCTACTCCCAGAACAGAGAGTGAATTTTAACAGCTGAGCTTGGAGGTGAGGATGCAGCATGTAACTCGACAGGCTGCTCCATCAGGCTGGGCTCATGCTGGAACCCGAAGGGTGTGTAAGAAGGGGACACACGGTGCCCGGGACGTGTCTGGTTGCAGCACCCCAGCCAGCCGATGGCTCCCCAGTGCTGGTGCTTCTCTTTGATGATCTCAAACATTTCTTCCTCATCTGTATCTTGACTGTTCCCTGGTAAGGAATGGCTCTATCTGGCCAAGAGCCAACAAACATGAGTTCATGACAAAGCTGCAAGAACAGTATCTTTGTCTCTGGCCCTGGCACAACTCCTGCAGCCTGGGAGGAGATGTGGAGAGCATTGACGAGCACTGTCAAAGCCCGTGGGCTGCAGTGTGCATTGAGTGCAGGTGGGAACAGGGTGGGTGCAGGGGAATGCCATACAGCAGCTTTCTCCCCAGCACATCACTGCTGCCTGAACTCATTTAGATCTTCTCCTTTCCCCCCTTGCAGATGACCTTGCAAAGCCACCACAGAGCATGGAACCAAGTCAAGATTTCTGGTAACCTGCACCTGCCTTGTGTGATGCTTCAGGGCAAGCAGCGGAAGCTGCAGGGGGAGCCAGCCTTGTGGGGAAAAGTGCTATCAAATGGGTAACTGTAGCACCCTGAGAGGTGCAGGGGGCTGAAAACACTTGTGCATGAAATGATAAATTAACCACAGCTCTGTTGTGAGTCTACCTCTTCAGTCAGTCCCAGCACAGCTTCCAAGTGCAGTTGCTCTTGGAGACAGGAAGCATCTCCTCACTGTGGGAGAAGTAAATCCCAAGTCGCCCATCCTTAGATGAGTTTGGGGATTCACTTTTCATGCTTGAGGTTGAAATCGCCTTCCTGAAATACCACTGCTGCCTGTGTAGAGGTCTCTTCTCATTCTGTGAGTGGAGGCTGCAGCTCAGCTTGTGCCCTGACAATCTACTCCTGCCCTCTCAGTTGTGGCCAAGATCCCTGCTGCAGTGGGAAACCAGGGCATGCAGGAATGGCCTATAGCACCTCATGCCACTGTCACTGAGAATGGCCTTCAGGAGCCATATCTCAGTTCCTTTAGTCTGGCACCTCACAGGGTTTCCAGGGTCACCTTTTAGGAGAAAAAGCCAGGTTGTGTTACAGCAGCCCCACTGCTCTCCCATCTCATGGAATTCAGTGGAATCCACAATTTCTTATTCTTCGCTCTGTATCCAGATGGAGTTTTTCATCCTTCATAGATTCTTCCATACAAAAGACAAGGTTGCTTCAGACTTGGGGTTGTATTGCACACTGTGTGTTGTGTAGAAGGAAGATAGGTGGCAGCTGGGTTCTGAGCAGGGCAGAGAAGTAGTGTCTACACAGAGTCCTTCAAGCAGGAGATGACGTATAAGCCATGGAAGTATGGCAACAATGTCAGAGGGGCACCCAGGGCCAGGCTGATCCACAGCAGTGTGTTACGGTAGCAGCCATCAAAAAGCAGTTTTGGCAGGCAGGAGAGTGAGGTCTGTCTGGAAAAGCAAACAGCAGTCACTAACAGGGGTCTGCTCGTGTGGTTGTACCATTCTCTAAGGGGCAAGCATGCCCTTGGCTAACGGACAGATCCATACTGCATTTGTTTTTCTATTATAAGGATGAGAACTCAATTTATTTCTAATGTGTGCCCTTGCCAAAGGGCTCTGTGTTTATGTGCTTCATAAAAGAACAATTAAAAACCCCATTAATACTAAAATCTTAGTGGGCTTGCATAGAAAGGAGAAAGAATGGGTCGTCCGCATAGAGCCAAAAGTAGCTAAATTTAGAGGCGTATCATAGGAATGGAAAGACTTTGAAATTATTTTCAAAGGCCTGAAAGAGATGAGATAGGAAGGATTATAGAATGCCACAGGTTTTGTGTTCAGAAGCCATCGCTGTTGGATAGACCATTACATGAAGGCAGTCTGCTCTCGGACAATACTCAAAAGCTTTCAGACCAGCAGCAGGCTCAGTGCAGCTCGGGTGACAGAGCCTGACCTCACTGGGCTGGTTATGAAACCTTCTGGGCTCTGGTCTCATCTGCTGAGAAAGATTTGATGGGAAGGACAAGTATAAATGGCTCAAGGATCTGGTTGCTGTTTTCTCACCTCTGGAGAATCAAGGAGATGTTTTCCTGATGGACTTACATACAAGGGGTTCTGCATGCAGGGCTTTTTTTTGTAATTTTTTGGTGACACAAATGAAGGATGCTCTTCACTGTACGTTAAGAATTCCATTGCCAAACAGCACTTCATTGTGAAAGCAGCATTTGCAGTCCTGCCTGTCTTACTTAGGCCAGAAGGTCAAAATAGATGGTTTTAACTATTATCTTAAACTACAGACCAAGGGCACTGAAAACAAGCAACTCATTTGTTTTCTCCTTTTTGGATGCTGTGAAAATAACTAAAGCCATTTAGAATCTTTAAATTTGTTTGGCTTCCTATTTAGGTAGCCTTGGGAGCCTAATTTTATGTATTGCTTTTCCAAGCTTGGCAGATGAGGCAGACAGCAGGTCTACATTTGTGGCTTTGCAGTCACAGGCGGAGTGTCACAGATATTTTCTCTCCTGAGCACATAAAAGGCTCAGCATTGACTGTGGCCAGGTAGTAAAACAGCAGCAGTAATGACTCGTGTCCCACTTAGTGGCTTCCTATGGGCGGACAGTTGACGTCTCTCTCCTGGAGGCTTTTGGACTAAAGAACATGATCATTCCTTGCTGAATCTGCACATGAAACACTGTAAGAACAGCCTCGCAGAGGCACTGGTGAAAAGAAAGATATTCTGCCTATTTGTAGATGTCAATAAGATCCAGCTTCCAGGGGATCTCAGCAGTGTTTTGGAAACTTCCTCCTTCCCAGACAGGGCCTGGGAATGCTAACAGCCTGGGCTTCCTGGGCCTTGCCCACGTTCTGGGGGAAGGGGAAGCACTAGTGACGTACTGACTCATGCCCTCTATTTCCTGCAGTGGAACATCCCGACTGCATCCCTCCCTCGAGAAGAGCCAAGGTTCAGCTTAGTGGGACCAGAGTGCTATTTCTGAAGAGCCTTTTCCCAGCAGCACAAACTACATGCCTACAGAAAGTTTGAAGCTTTTAATTTAATAAAGTCATTTCATGTCTGTCTGCATCCCGATACTCTTTTGAGACTAAGCTAAAATATAAAGCTTGCTCGTTCATGACTTCAAATGTCAAGGTTTAATTACATACAACGCCTCAGAATTAAACTTCAAACCAGAGAAATTTTTTGAACCATTCAGAAGACAGATATGTCCAAACCAGGGGCTGGAAGTGCTGCAGAGCCCAGCTGCTGCCCGTGGGTCTGCGTTCCCCAAGGTGACGAGAGGGGAGGGCTGGCTGCGGGCTCCAGGTGAGCCTCACCTGTGCATGGCACCAAAATTCCCTTTTAAAGCTGTGCTGGTTGGGAAGAAGCAGAGCAATTGGCCCATCAGGGTGACAATTGTCTGCCAGGTGACAGGTACCTGTGCGCGTTGCTTTGTCATTGACTTTCATTTCACCTTCCTGACAATGCTTTCAGCAGTGAAGGAGGATGAAGCCCCCCAACAACACATCTCCTAATGGCAGTCCAGGGACAGGAATCTTGTAGTTCTCTTAGGTGCTATATCTGTATTGAAAATTTGCATTTAATTTAAGCTCTCTTACTAATTAAAGATTGGGATTTAGAAGGCGATGGCATCTTGCAATATTTACGGCCCCAGCTCTGGAGCAATGTCTCAGCAGGGAGAAAATTAGCAAGTTTTGAAAACTTGAAAATCATGAAGGGCCAGACATCAGGAGAAGACTAAAGAAAATCTCAGGTCCACTGAGAAAAAAATGGATACTTCTGAGCCAGCTTCGTGACTTGCAGGGCCCAATTCATTATTTTCTAAGACATATTGTTGTCAAAGCTGTAATTTAGCTCATAAAATGTTTGTTGTTCTAGGGATAATAACATGTCCTGGGGTTAATGGGTTCTGTAACCTCCCATGTTTTGGTTATTTTTAAAAAGCAGTGGTTGGCAGCCAGCTGGAGAGTGCTTTATTAGTAACATCCCCAGAGAGCAGACAGCCTAACACTTGATATCTTTTGGTTAGAGGGTACAGCAAGGACACAAAGCTCCTCACTGAGCCTTGGAATATGAGAAGATAACGACACAGCCCCAGACGCGCAGGGCAGCATCCCCACGGAGCCCTGCACTGGCACGGAGCGACGCTCCCATCTCAACATAAAATATGAGCAAGTTTGAATGTCTGGCAATGGTTACATTTGAAAGCAAAAGTCTGTGTTCTTGACTAATGTAATGCTATCTCCTCTGTTTCTGAGCCGCTCCAGAGAGGGGCACCAGCACACGGTCCTGTGTGGAGCCAAGACCTGGACTTGATCCTTGGTGCTGTGATTCTGTATCAGATCAATATCACCAGTATCACATCTTACTTAAATATCTGTATATATACATATCAGGTCAAAACCCACTCCTTTGGAGCATTGCACACCCAGTTTCTCTTTTAGGTAAATGCATGATCTTCCGTTCTCTGTGGAAATGCACATCCTAATCTATCTGAGTTTAACTTTTCAATATGTTCATTTCAACAGAATAATTTCACTGTCTATATGGTAAGCATGCATCTAAGGAATGTATAAATATACAATACACATCTTTATATATGCAAATAGTATGAATGTGGAGAAGCTTTAGTAGCTAGCAAGCATTGAAGTATAATTAATTCATCCACCCCTAAAGAAGTGACCTTTCTTAGTCAACTGCACTGGAAAAAGGAGTTTGCACTACAGAAATCCAGCAGAGGTTAAAGATGTAAGCTTCGTAGAGAGTCTCCTGGTATCTTTTTTTCACAGATCCATCTCCTTGTATGGGGATGAGAATGGAAGCAAGGAACAGAGGCTAATAGAGGCTAAAATAGTGTTAAGTGCAGGATTATGCATCTGTCTAAAATAGGTAAGGATTTGATTTTTGGATCATGTCCATACTTTACTTGAGTAAATCAAGTGTCTGTTTCTGAAGAAACAGTAGTGAAAACAAAACTTATGTTTACTCCTAATGTGAACACTGTATATTAATTGCAGTAATATATATTATTGCCACCCTGTTAGTAATGTTTAGTGTCTTTTCCACAAGGATGTAAATGGCAATCCTAAATGTGAGGTACGCAAGGTGTGTGGTCATTTCCTGTAAGCCTTACCTTGTTTTTATCAAGTACTGCCCAGTGACCTTGACTGGCTCAGTTCTGAACCCACATTCAGCCATGCTGCAGGTGTGCCAAATTATACCTGCACAGCCAGCAGGGGTTCTTGTATATTCTTCATGAAGCTAAAGCACATCACCTAGCAGCCTTACTAGGAACTAAGCAGCAGCACACACTTTTTGTAAGAGGCACCTTATCACCAGTCCAGGTGAAACTGCTGTCTCCAAGTTGCAGGTTTTGTAAGGGGATTGAGGCAGCAGCACACGTTCCAATAACAAAAGACAAGCCAGATGAAACGATTTGCCACTTACAGCAAATCCTACAGACCATAAAAATAATCTCTCCCTCTTGGTTCAGTTCCATTCCTTCTGCGCAGTTTGAATATAATCCAGTATAAATGTGGCAACTGTATTTATAGAGGCATTTACCTTGGCTTGATTTGAAGTATCCTTTTGCAGGCCAAGCACCACAAAGTTCTAAATATAACATCAATATTAAAGGTGACAAATAAAATAGTTTGTATATAAGTAAGTTCACAGATCAGTAAAGGACAAGGAACTAAGAGTAAACTGCAAAGCTATATGGGTCTATGGTAATTTTGGAACTGGGAACATCAGAAACAGGAACACAACTGACAAACCCAACTGCTGCTCATGCTCCTCAGCCCCTTCTCCAGGCATGAATGAAGTCTGTTTCTCTGTGGCAATGACAAATGTGTGTGCAAATTGCAAAACCCTAGCTGAGTGGACTAGATAATGGCAAACACCATTGCAGACATGCTGCTGAATGAAATGCAGCGTTACCTGCAGTGAGTATAACCAACCTGATCCTCCTCTGCATACAAAGGCTGCAGCACTTTAATTATCTCCTAAGAATTCACTGAAGGGCTTTGCAATCTGCTGCTCCCGGGCTAAACAGAAAGGTCTTAGTGGGGAAAAAACAAAAAGCAGAGGGACAGAAAGAGTGCTTGTGCCCCACAGAGCATGCTCTAAAGTGCAGGGTGCTGATGACATGGCAAACTACCAGGTAGGCAAAAGGCCTTAACAGCTATCTTTAGATAGGTGCTGTGATGTTGTGGCACAAACAACAAGGTGAAAGATGCAATTAGAAGGTTAAACACTCTGAAATTGCAAGGTAGAAAACAATGAGCGATAGGGAAATTTTGCCATGATCAGATGGCTGCTGGACAGCACACAGGTTTTCAACAGAGGTGTGAAAGCAGTGAAGTTCCAGAGAAAGGGGAAAAATTCATTAAAATCAAAATGCAACAACAGGAAGGCTGTTACTCTTTGGTGGCCTGGGTAAGGTACTCTGCTGTGTCTCTAGCAGAGAAGAGGAAGAAACTGATCTAGATCTAAGACAGCAGAGCTGCAGGAGGGTACCCTTAATGGTGGGGCCCTCAGCAGATTCCTAGCTGGTGATTTTCAAGTATAGCAGTCTGAAAGATATGCCGAAACTCAGCAATAAGCAGGGATGGCAGCGCTGTGTTCAACTGTTGTACAGATTGGATACCATTGAAAAGCTTTAGGTGCAGAAGAGAGCAATGAATAAATCATGGGAGATAAAGCTCACGGAAGTCAATAGGAATCTTGCAGCCCGTTAATTTCAGCACGAAGTTCAGGGCTTGAATTGATTGTTGAGATTGGGCCCTAGTCCACCGAGAACAATCCTAAAGACTGGAGGGCAATCGGCTGCCATACAAGTCAATGCTCAGAGGTGCCCTGCAGATCCTTTATTCCTCCTGAGCAGCCATTTCGTACATCAATTGCAGTGTGGTGGTTGCAGGCCCAGGAGAACGGTGCAGCAGCTGGTGGGTGCTGTGTGGCATTGCAGGGGGGAGAGGAATGGGTAGACAGGAGGAGGGGAGGAAGATGGATGTTTTCTCTTGGGGATGGGATGGTTCTTCCTGCACTGGTATTTGGGGAAGCAACATGGCTGCTAAATACTGCTGGAATTTTCTCTCCAGCTGTAAGAAATGCTGTTTTTTTCTGCTCAGCCCAAATTAAAGTTCTGATACACAAAAGAAATACTAAGCACAGACTCCATGAAGTCCACTAGGTTTGATATTGGTATTTTGTTTGATAACATTTCAGTAATGCTATCATGAAGGACAATGAATAATATTAAACAGATTTTGAATGCAACAGAACAGGTTTGCATTTCCAAACCTCCTTTGTTTTGTACTGCAGAATGAACTCTCCAACAAACATTTATTAGACTCAGCAAAAAGATACTGCCCATTTTAAGGTATATTCTGTAAGTAACTCAGGCTTATTTTCTACAGAAATAAATAAAACAGACCTGAATGTTATCTCAAGCAATGACATCAAGTGGAATATTCCTAAAGAAAATAAACTATATTTACTCACATTTGTGAACATAGTTGATTCGTGAATATTTAGCAAAATCTACTGAGAGAAAAACAGAGAGCAGTGAGGGCTTTAGGAAAATGATGCCATATTTTACCAGAAAGCTTACTTCTTAGTCCCCAGAATCTTTGAACAAAACTTCTTTTTTTTTTGTGCTCCACTGCCACTGATGCTAGCATGAAGGATTCTGTAGATATTCTGGAGGACATCTACTAGGAGACACAGCACAGAGCTATTTGCATTAACAAAGCTACCAAGTTTTTCTTCTGCAGATCTCACAAAGCACCCTAAAAAGGTACAGCTTTTCACAGAGGATAGGAAAATTACACCCAGAGATACAAAGGGACACCTAGCAGCACATAAAGTGAGAGAGGCAGCACTCTGATCCCAGTGCCTCCCCCTTCCTTTCTTTACACTAAGTAGACACTGCAGTCCTCATCTTTGGAGTAACTGTGCTTAAGAAGAGGTTAAGCACAAACATGACAAAGTGTGCCATTTTGTAATGCAGTACGTCAGCATCAAGGTAGATGCAGAAGTGGCTGAGCTATAAACTGCTGCATAACCAC